GCGCGGCCCTGCCGGGCCCAAGGGAGGCGAGGTTGCGCCCTGGTGGCGGCGTCCGTGCGCCCCGGGCCCCCGTGGGCCTCGCCTGGGCGCTGCCTGAAGAAGGGCTGGCCTGCCCGCACCTGAAATCAGTGGTGCCAGGCCCGAGGGAGGCTCAGGCCGGCATCAGTCAGAAGGCACCACACCTGTGGCACAGTACCGCGCAAGCATTATTTAAATGGCAGCAGACGCCCTCTGAGTTCTCTAGGCTCACGAACCTCTGGCCCAAAGCTTCGCGGTCGGGGTTCTTGCCACGCAAGTGGGGCCTTTAAAGTCGCGATTCAATAATTCCCGAGAAAACCATAACCAGATTTTGTGTTTTCAGTGAAGAACAAATGAAGGGGGTTCCTTATCTTGGTGATTTTTTCGGTCATAACTGATCACAACCTCACGGGGAGAAGCCTCCTCTCACAATCAGGTCTTACATAAAACAGACCTCAATTATAGCAGCTTTCAAAACAAAATTGCCGATTTAACAGTTCTCGTAATTACCTTGAGTCGCTGCTTTGTTGTCTTGTGAAGACCTGTCACCCACAGAACCAGGACAGGGGTGTGGTCCAAGGAAGTTAGCCACCAAGACACTGAGCCAGGAACGCGCATCCGACCGTGCGTTCTAATTCAGGGAGAATTGTGAGCCCAAGACTTGGCATCAGGCACTGCCTTGTCAAGAAAAAGAAGACTCTGAACTTCAAGATACTGAAGATAAAGACAAAAACAATACTCTTACAGAAACAAAATATATTTTCAACCTGGAAATGTCTCCTGAAGATTAATAGAATCAGTATAGACAAAAATAGTTTCAAAGCCATTCTAGTGAGTAGGAACGTTCATGCATCTGTTAATCCTTTTCACAGCATTAGTTTTGAATCATTGTGTGTTTTCTTTCTTTGTCCACCCTTTTACTTTCATTAATTCTGTCAGAAACCCAAGTAGAAAAAAAAACTAAGTAAACGTGAGAACAACCTAAGATAAGACGTTGCCCCCTAACCCCCAAAAAGAAACAAACCAGCAAAACTAGCAATTGTGGAACCCTCACCAGATGAGGACATGTAATCACACTATCTGTAGTTTTCTTGCCTCCTCTCAAGCACTGAGCTTAATAAATATTTAAATAAGTACTTGGCTTTCAACCTCTCTAGGTTCAAATATTAAGCAAAGTGTACTCTAGCAACCTTAAAAGAAGCCAGCGAGTATATGAGGCAGGAAGCTATCAGTTCCGTAAACAACCCTTTGCATCTGATTGATTTTGCTGCTCCAGATATAGGTCACTCAGGACACTGAGATAGTGTGAAGCTTGGCTGGGGCAGCATTTATTTAGAATTCAAAGACTCCACATTCTCAGTCCCCAGACAAGGAACATTCAGCCAACAAGAAATCAAGCTGTTAATTCATTTGGGAAAATTCTAACTTCCTAGTGAGTATTAGACCAGTGTCCTAGATCAGCTGTCTTTTCTAACTATTCAATCTCCATTCAGCCTTACAGACTTCTCTCCAGACAGACCTCCTCCATAAATCCTCTTTATTGTTCTGATTTCCGACACCCTCTGAACTTTGACAAAGCTTAATGGCCTTACCACACAACACAGCACCTGATTATATTCACTGTCATATGGTGGACAATCACAGGTTCTTATTCTCTCTTCAAAACTTGTCATTTTTAACCCAGTAATTTCCACAATCCTAAGAGAAGTTTCCTCTGGAGCATTTAGTATATGTTTTAATGAACTATCATATTAGTTATGCAGGAAAAAATGTTTATCACAATTTTCAAACTTCAATGGTTATAAATATTCCAAATTCTATTACCTACTTAAACGTTTCCTGCACTTCATTCTATTTCCTTTGCCAATAATTCTCAAAGATTGAATTATAAATCTAGGGTTTGACCATATGTGTTAGGAATCTACCAGTGTACCATATGTGTTAGGAATCTACCAGTGTTTCCTAAATAAAAACATAATATGAGAAGATGATAAGTTTCAGTATGAGGAGAGAATGGAGGACAAGTTTTAGAAAAAGACACAGAATGACCCTGAGCAAACCCAGTCTTTTTAAGAGTCCATGCTCTTTTCTGTAAAGTGGGCAAAAGAATGGTACCCTTTATCACTGTGAGGTTTCAATGACTGAAGATGATTATGGGGCACATAACTAGGGTGCAGGAAATGGTGGAAATTAACATTTCAGAGCATGACTACATTAGAACACTTCTGAGCTTTGAGAAAACTGGTAGAGTGTATCAAACTGAGGTTAAGAAACTAGCTCTGCTTTATACACTTGGTTGCTCAGACTAAGAAGGGAACACAAAGAGGCCAATATGATCAAAACCAGTGAATAAATCTCATGGGCAAAAACACAACTTTCAGTCCTGCTACAAATTAGAATCACCTGAGAAAGCTTTAAAAAAATAAATAAATAAATGCTTGAGTCCCAGAATCCCACCCAGGCCAATTATTTGTCAGCATCTCTAAGGGCTGAGGTCCAGGCAATTTTTTTGACCTAAGCTTCCCAGGTGATTCTTAGTGGTATGCCAAAGTTAGAAACAGCTGGACTAAAGGAACTGGACTATTTCCACTGTAGAAGAGTGAGAGCCAATGAGGCTAAGGGAATCACCTCTTCTACTTCTACTAATGATGAACAATCCTGCTTAAATTGCTATACTCTGGTTTCTCCTCAGATCGCATAAATCTTCGCCTTTTAAATTGCTGGCCAATGATTTGGTGTAATGCGCATTTGACGCACCTAGAGATCTTGTCCAGATGCAGATTTTGACTCAGTCTCAGATGGAGCGTGACACTGCATTTCTGACAAGCTCCAGGTGGAGCCTGTGCTGCTGGTCTGTGGACCATACTCTGAGTCACAAAATAATGGACCTTGTGATGGGGAGGGGAGGAGTGCGGGGGGAGGGGAGTAGAGCTATACTCACATGGTTACAAGAGAATTCTTGACATCTCTGAATATATTTTTATTAATCAGTTCATATTTGTTGTGCAACAACTGTATGAAAAATGTATTTTGCAATCTTCTAAGGAAAAAGTAAGCCATTCCCAGTCAGTTTTAAGAGGTCTTCTTTCCTTAGGGATGTAGAGCCCCTCAAACAGGACCTGCTTCTTCTCCCCTAGGCACAGTGAGCACAGTCCACAGGACCCACAGTAATCGTAGGGCCAAAAAAAAAAAAATGTTATAACTTATTTTTAAATCAGAAGAAATAAAATGAACTTCTGGGTCAAACAACATCTTTTCATATATATATTAATATATTGGTTTTTATAACAATGCACTCAAAAACCAGTCATTTGAACTTGTAAAGGCCAGTAACTCCTATTCTTCATCTACCCAACAAACACAGATGTTTTCCCCAGGTTCTAGAACAGTCTTCATCTCAGAAAGTGATTACTTATTTGCATCACTGGTTTAGTTGGTTTTCTTCCTTGCCAACTGGATCCAGCTGTCTTCAAGGTATAGATATCTTCTTAAATCTTAAACCAATTCAAAGACTCTCTTTTGATCTCTGGGGCACAATTGTATCAGGCAGGACAGCTGGATAATTCCCCAACTGCATATATCTATAAATCTTTCACTGTAAGCAATTTTATTTCCAAGAGCACCACCAGAGTGTTCAGGTATGGGTTGTGGGGCAGAAAAATGCAATACTTAGTATTTCTCCAATCCCCTGACACCTGCCAAATGCTCACACAAGAATATTAAATACCAGCCTGGAACAATTTTTCATAGTTATATAATAAAGTCCCCAAGCAGAGTTGATAATTGAGATACTAACACCATTTTAATTAGGGAGATACAACTAGTCACTGATAATACATGTGGGAAATAATGTGTGTGCGACTGTCACATGAGCTGTAATTATGTTTAATACTTCTGGTGACATGATGGATGGTTGAGTATGAAGCTCCAGTGCTCTGCACGTGATGTCATTTGGAAGACTCAAAATGCATGTATAGCTTTGGGCAGCTATTACTCATTAAAGAGGATCAAGATCCTGTTTTTCCATTTATAAACAACAGGCAGAGGAAAGGAAATACTGGAAAATCTATAAATAAAGTTAAAATTAATTTGTTCCAACACTACCACCCCAAAAAGACATATAAAAATATTAACTCAGCTACTTAAAATTCATTCAGTCCCATTTGATAACTCATAACATGTAACCCAAGAACTAATTCTTGTCACTAAAGGATCCAAGAGTTTTTTCAATAGCCTAAGTGAAGGATCCTATAGTTTTTGAACCCAACTCAGAAGATGTAGGTAGTCAAATACAATGTATGAGGACTTACTGTTGTCATTCTGTCCCCACACTCTTCTGAAGTTGATATCTTAACAGCACATTTTCTTCACTACTCTCCGGAGATACAAAAGGCAGGGGAGCTTACTAAGGCCCTTATACTCCCACCCAAATGAAAAGACTTGAGGATCCAAGATAGAATACAGAGGGAAATGGAAAGACTTGGGAATGAAAAAAGGAAAGTCTAACAATAATACCTTTAATCCATCTTGTTTTGAAAAATTAAGGGTCCTACCCAGAGCCATGTCATTAAAAGGCAGTTAA